GGTCAGGGGCCTTCTCACACAGGGAGCATTTGTAGGGACGGACACCTGAGGGGACACAAAGGGGTCACAAAGGGGACATGGGGTCAGGGGGACACAAAGGGGACATGGGGTCAGGGGCCCTCTCACACAGGGAGCACTTGTAGGGCTGCACATATTCCCACCCCATTTCTGCCCCATCCCCGATCCCAACTCACCGCTGTGGGTGCGGACGTGGCGCTTGAGGTCAAAGGTGTCGTTAAAACCCTTCCCATCCCACTATCCCCCAATTCCCATTCCTGATCCCATCCCACCCCATTCCCACCCCATTCCCAATCCCATTCCTGCCCCGTTCCCGATCCCAACCCACCAGCGTGGGTGCGGACGTGCCGTTGAAGCCCTTCCTGCCCCATTACCCCCCAGTTCCCATTCCTGGCCCTATTCCCGCCCCATTCCCGATCCCACCGCACCGGTGTGGGTGCGGACGTGTCTCTTGAGGTCGAAGGTGTCGTTGAATCCCTTCCCGCAGTAGGGGCAGCGGTGCCTCTTGACCTCGCTGTGGCACTTGAGGTGCCGGTTCAGCATCCGCTGGAACCCGAAGCTCTTGTGGCAGACGGGGCACGAGAAGAGCTCGGAGCCCCCCGGGACCCCCCCCCCCGGCCACCGGGACCCCCACGGGGACCCCCCCCCCGGCAAGGGGCAGCCCCGGGGGGAGGGGGGGAGGCCCCAAAGGGCCGGACGGGACCTGCGGGGGGGAAGGGAGGGTTAAACTGGGGAGGGGGGGGATGACAAGTCATGGGGAACCCCCACCCGCCCCTCAGTTTGGGGACACCCCCCACTGGGGACCCCCCAGTTATGGAGACCCCCCATTGGGGATCCCTCAGTTATGGGGACCCCCCCCTCAAACCTTAGGGACCCCCCCTATTTGGGGACTCCCCCCTCCCCAGCCTCAGGGACCCCCAGCTATGGGGAGCCCAAGCCATGGAGACCCCCCTTTTGGGGACCCCCCCAGTTGTGGGAACCCCCCCCCAGTCATGGGGACCCCCCCTTGGGGACCCCTCCAGCCCCGGGACCACCCCCCATTTGGAGACCCCCAGGAATGGGGACCCCCCCCTCACCTTGGGGACCCCCCCCAACCTCGGGGAGCCCGAAATTTGAGGACCCCCCCAGCCACAGGGACCCCCCCCCAACCTTGGGGACCCCCCCCAGTCTCAGGGACCCCTCCCAGACCCTGGGACCCCCCAGATCGGGCCCCCCCGCTCAAATACCCCCCCAACCCCCCCCAAATTTTGGGGCGCCCCCCTCACCTTGCCCTTGGGGTGCAGGAAGGGGCCGGGGGGGGCGCGGGGGGCCGGGGGGGGCAGCGTCATGTCCAGGGGGGACACGGGGGGGGGACGAGGGGGCTTCGCCCACGGCCGGCTCGGGGTCCCTGC